ACCACTCTGGGCTTCTAAGATGCAAGAGTTAAGCTTCACTGCTGGGTCACATCGCATCTCCAGCAGTGCCTGATCCAGTAGCTGCTCAACAAACATATGTGGAATTAACGAGAAAAAGGAGTCTGTCATAATTGGTTAGGCCACTTCCAAGTTTCATATTCTAGAATGACTGATTCCTCCAGGTGTTGTCTCTTTTAATACCATATGGGTATCTGAATATCCTTACCATGCTTCTGCTCCAGGATTTTTACACTTGCTGGATGCTCTTCCTAGAAGCCTCTTCCTAAGACAGACACCAAATGTCACCTTCAATGTAAAGTCTTCCCTGTCTATCTGAATTCAAATTTAGCTCTCTGTCTCTGTCTCTCTCTCTCTCCTACTTTTTCTTGCAACTACTTTCCCCCATCTCTGACTTATTTTGCTATGCAGCATGGATAGATTTACAGGGCAGGGGCCTAAAACTAGCTATGGAATTAACTTTAAAATGAACCATAATGAATTCATAAAATGCCTACTTCTACTTGGCACTGCTTGATCTTGTTGGTGACAAATGCCGTCAGCCAAGAAATGTCACTCCGATCACATATAGTGTCCAGTGTGTCTCCAAGGGCAGAGGTGGTGGAAGACAAGCAATGTGTAGTATATGGAACGGCAGAAAGACGTCTTCCCTGTGCCATCACCAAACGGGGACATGTTTAGTCCCCCATATCTTTTCCCTTAGCAACTGTTGTACAGTAAGTTCAATGAAATAAGTATCTGTCAACACCTTCCAAGTGTCAAGCACCATGGTAGGTGGCAGGGACACAGAGTTCTGATCATCACCATCAGCTCAAAATGGAGAAGACAACCAAGCATTACATGGATGGCTGCAATATAAGTACAACTGTAGTAGTGTCCATATATAGCAGCAAGAAAGTTTGGAAATAGGGTGAAGGGTGACACCTTCTAGGTGGAAAAGTCAGCCACTCAAGGAAATCAGGTTAAATCTTGAGAGGTGGGGGGCCTTTGATGAGCAGAGGTGAACAGAGGGAGCAGAGAAGACAATGGGTATAGAGAAGAGTATAAGAAGGGGTATGGAGAGAACAGTCCAGGGACGGAAATGGGACAGGGTGGGAAAGGGTGACAACATCAGTCCACAGACACTGTCAAAAGCCATGTGCAAGAGGTTAACTTCATTGCAGAGAACCATGGGGAGCTAGATGATATTTTATAATGGGGAGGTGATATAAATAAAAATGAGTAACAAACTTCTTGAAACATTTGGTATCGTTATTCTACATAACTGTATAAACATCCTACTACTAAAGAAAAATTCCATTCACTGGAGTGAAACCAGCCCATGCTAGCTTTCAGTCAGTCAGTCTCTGTTCTCAAGTGGATTAAAATCTCAGGCAGTTTCAGTGAACCAAACTGACATATGAGGAACAAACTAACAAAAATAGAACAACCCTCTAATAAGTTGAACCATAAAGACCCACTGCATTTCACTGCTGGACACAGTTTAGTAAGTTGAGAGATCCTTTACAAAGACTCCCAAGGTCCTTTTGACCTCTTGAAGTTGGTTTTAAATTATTATTGTTATCTTGGTTTTAAGTAATAATAATTGCAACAGCAGCTAAGAGCAATACCAATACTATCATACAGATCCTGAGCTCTACATTGAAATATATAATACTTAATCCTCACAAGAAGACAAAGTTGTTATCAGCCTAGTTTTATACCTGAGGAAGCTGTAGCCTGGGAAAGTTAAGTAATCTGCCCACACCTATTCCATGGAGAAGTTAAATTTGAAACGAGGTGTGAATGCAGAGCACAGAACCTGAGCCGTTTCTCTTGGCCTGAATCCAACATCTTTATAATCTGTTGGGTACATTTACAGTCTCCTCCGCATACCTAAGTTCCATGAAAGCAATGAACAAATGTTTTCTTTGTATTTACTTCAGTGCTTTACATATGAACCTAAGAACTTCTTGGTGAATGAATGGCAGCATTGTAAGGTGCTGATAATGCAGGGTAAAGGAGTTCAGACATGGGAGAAAGCCATTTTATAGGCATCACCTTGAGAGGTGTGGTACTCAGCTTCCAAGATGGCTGCCAGTGAGTCCCCTACCACAGTGAGTCAGTCCTGCCTGTTATGACCAGCAGAGTGACTTCCTTAGCTAGGTCAGTAAAGGTAGTAAGAGTTGAACCCTCTCTCATGAGGATGCCAGCTGTCATGCTGTGGTGACAACTGAGCAGCCCCATGAAGAGGCCAACACAATTCCTCAGCACTGTTCTGCCAGCCATGTGAGCGAGCCACCACGGGAGAGACCTTCTAACCCAGGAGGAGTCTTTAGATGATGACAGCCTTGGGCAGCATCCGACTTCAATATCACGTGCAATCCTGAACCAAAATCACATAGGTGAGCTATTTCTGAAGTTCTTACTCACAGAAATCAGGAGTCATAATAAATGGTTATTATTGTCCTAAGCCATTAATTTTGCAGATTTTTTATATAGCAATAGGTAACTAGTGAGATTTTGGGAATGAATTCCATAAAAGTAAAGCAAAAGAAGCATTGAAGGAATTCTGGGAATAAAATAGGCAAAACCGGGATGGTAGGGGATCATCCGAAATGGAAAATACAAATGTAACAAGAAACTCCCTTCCCCTGCACACACAGAGAAACTCGGAACTGGAAAAAATTTTAAGAGTCATACAGTCCAACCACTCATCAAATGTTAACGACCACCCAAAAAATAGTAAAACTTAGGCAGAGGATTGTATGAATTTACCAACATTGAAGCCTAAGAGAAGGCTGATTGCCCGCAGCTCTCCTACATGTAGTAAAGAATGAGGAATTATGTGGTTCCCCTTTTCTGTAGCTTTGCTTTCCAGTATTTCACTTATCTATCATCAACCCAAAAGGTCAAAAGTATTAAAGTATTAAGCAGAAAAATTCCAGATATAAAAATTCACAAGTTTAAAACAACTTGTGTTACAGCATATTGTTACAGTAATATTCATTGCTACGAGGGTAAGGAGAAAGCACTGTAGTCATCACAGACCAATTCTTGTGGCTGAACTGAAGTATTCCTGAAAGCAATGTAAATAAGAAATCCAGGGAGGAAAGAAGGGAGAGCAGGAGGAGGGGAGAAGCAGACGAAGGAGTGAAAGAAGGAGGAAGAGAGGAAGAAGAAGGCCATGATTTTAAGTGGAATAACCCAGACACACACATTTAAACGTCACGTTGTTTCTTTTGTGTGAGAAACCCAAAGGGCAATGAGAACAGACACTGGGAAGCAGGAAGAACATGCTCAAAGGTAAGAGGAGCAAGAAGGGAGAAGGGAAGAGAAGGAAGGTAACAGGGATTAAAAAGAGAATGGAAGGGAAAAATGGAAACGAAGATTTTGTAAATGGGGAGGGAAAGAAGGGTTAAAGGGACAGGAGAGGAATATGAACACAAGAAGGATCAAGTCATTATGTACAGATACACACATTCTATGAGGAATGGTATAATTATATATGGCAAATATGTACTAGTAAAAATGAAGAAGAAGAGGAAGAAGTAGAAGAAGGAGGAGGAGGAAGAGGAGAACAAAAAAAAAGGAGGAAGGGGCCATCAGGGATGGGAGAAGAAATCATTTTGTTAAAATGCTATGTGGTAGACACTATCCTTAAACATAACTTGTCTTGCTCCCCAACAAGTCTATGATCTCAAATTATTTTAACTCTATTTTTTTCTTCTTGTTTTTCTTTCTCCAACTCTCTTGATCTATGATACAAAAACTGGAAAAATCACAGAAAAGAAAGATTAAGGCATCCATCAAGTACCTAAACTCCAGGTACAGAAAAACACAAACCAAAACTCTGAGCTTATAGATAAGGGTTCAGCAATGTCCAGCCAGAAAAGAACCACTCAGACTGGGGCATTCCTTTCCCTGAGCACATAAGGCTGTGCTTCCTGAAATCCTTATTAGTGTAACCCTATTCAAATGAAGAAAGCACCGAGATGAAAAATTCTTAATGTCTACAACATTCTCTGCCCCAAGACATATTTCCCAGCTCCCTGTTTCTTTCAAAGGCCAGCAGTGCATCTAAAAATTCCACTGAGGGAGAGGTTCTCCCTCCTTATTCAAGTAAATACAGGCATTGGCCTTTAACCTTCTGTGAGCATGAGGAAACTTGGTGTGTAGTCGTCACCTATAAAATATGTGCCTGTGTGCGCAGCAGTATAAGGGGAAGAAGAATGTTGAGGTCAGAATCAGAGCGGGTGAGTTAGTGACCATCGCCCACAAAGAAGTCACGAAAGTCATATGCTAGGTTAAGGGCAGAGAAGAGAACTCTAAACAGTTACCAAAGAACTAAAATAGCTAATCATCCCTCTGGGAAAACAAAATGCAGGTCAGTAAGAAAGGTATATATACCTTGGATATTTGAAATATAAGGCATACACCAATTAAAGGTCTTTAGAGTGATGTCAAAATATCTTACTTAGCTCCTCTAAGGACAGAAAACCTAGACCTTCAACAAACGCCACACTTACAGCATAATTGATGTACATGAAAGGTAACTAATGGGAAAGTCTAACAATGTTCACCAAGGTCACAGAAACATGGAGTGAATAGAACACACAGAAAATGAATTAAGAGGATGTTCAAGTTTTGTGGAGAAGAATGGTCATGAAAAGTCTAAGAAAAAAATAACACAATTTGTTGAAAGAACAGACTTCCTGGACTGGTGGGAACTGTCAACTAGAAGCCAGCACGATTTGCAAATGGCTGCCCTGTTACCCAAGTCACAGGTTCAGAGAAAGTAATTTCTATGGTTTAATTATAGCAAGTTCACAGGGACATTATACCCACCTCTTAGAATTTCCTCAGGTCATGCACCAGACCTGTGTACAGAAGGTGTTTGGCTAATATGGATACTGATGATCACATGTGATCATGACCATGTCCACCCCTACAAGGAGCTCAGACTCCCAGGTATCACGGTCCCAGGGGTCACCCCTATTTACCATCATTGAAGCTGTCGCTGGTAGCCATGTGGGTGAATGGGGACTGGGCTGGGGGCTCCTCACACAGGGAGTAGCTATGCTCAGCCTGGATGAGAGGCGCTGGGGATGTCGGGGATGGCTCCACATCCATGGACACACTCTTCTCTGAGAGGAAAGGGTCATTGAGGAGCTGGCCCAGGACATTCTGGGAAAACTCATCCAGGAGTTCTGAGAAATGCTGTAAGAAACAAAGGAAGAAAAAGTCAGTCTTCCTTAACCAAGTTCTGATATTCACTCTGCATGCGTACTCTTAAGGCTAATATACCAACCATTGATGTGTGTGAAATCTTATACACAATACCAGAGGTCTATGTCTGCCTAATAAACTACCTTAGCATTAACAGCTTAAAATCACTATAATTTATTGGTGCTTGTTACGCTGCAGGTTGGCTGAGTAGGTGAGTGGATTCATTGATCCACTGATCTAATGGGTCAGCCAGGACTTATGACATGCTGGGACAGATGGACACCTGGGCTTTTTCTCAAGGAGGCTGAATCAGGTTGAGCCTTTTCACAGGGTGGCAGAAATGCTCCATGAAAGAGAAAATGAAAGCTGAAGTCTCAGAAGACACACACCATTACGCACTCCACAGTCTTCTGGTTAAGGCATGTGAAAAAGCCATCCTAAACTCACTGGGAAGGAAAAGACTCCATTTCTTGAGGACAAAGATGGCAGAATCACATCACAAAAGAGTGAGTGGAGGGCGATGCAACACAGTGGGGTGCTGTGTGATGATCTTCCACACTGCATGGATAATATCTTTAAATAAGGTACAGTTCTATAGCATAGAGGAGTCATTACAATACAGTGCCAACATCAAAGACATTCAAAGAAATGCTGTAGTTTATACCTGAATTGTCTCTCAAAGACCCATGTGTTAAAGACTTGGTCCCAGCCCATCCATGGTGCTGCTGGAAGGCACTGGAATCTTTACGAGCCAGGGTGCAGTAGGAGGTTTTTGTTGAAGGGGGGGGAGGGGGTTTGTACCCTTGAGAAGAACTGTGTGATCACTGTCTCTTCTTCCTTCTCTCTTTTAGTTTTTCTCAGCCAAGAGGCGAGAGGTTGTGCTATGCCAGTGCTCACACATCCATGGTGTCCTAGAACAGGCGCAAAACAACCAGACCAACAGATTCCACACTGAAAGCCTAAAACTGTGGCTAGCTCTTTATCAGCTGATTAAGTCTGGCATCTGTTACAATAGCAGAAGCTCATTAACACAGGAACCTTCTTTTTATTTTCCCCACTACCTGAAGTTGGCTCGTGTGCAGTTGTTCCTTAATCTCCATAATCACTCCCAGCCCCCATGTGCCACAAGCATAATAAAGGATAGTCCCATTTAATGCCTGGGAGTCCTACACCCCTGTCCCCCAACTCCTCTCTAAATGACGTGAAGATTCTTACACCAAAAAATGTCTTACTTAGTGACAGTTGGGGTAAATGGAAAACTCGTGGGATTTTCATGTCTGTGTGGACATATCCAATCAAGTTCCACCATGGACCAAACAATCAATGACGAAATTAAAATGAATGCAGAAAAGGAAGGTGGAGCTTTAAGGTCAGGGAAGTTTAGGATGGATTCTCTGCTACTAAAGGAGAGAGGCAGAGAGCAGAGAGGAGCTTTCTGCAGGTTGGTTCCTTAGGGATCAGAAGGCTGGGTTCCACTCACATAGCAAGCACTGGACAGGGCTGTAGGCACCTGGTCAGAACACAGGGATGACACTGTGGGCCCTGAGCACAGGTGTCTAAGAGCTAGAGAGGGTGGCTGGGAGAGATGGCTCTGAGCCTAAACTGGTGTGACCTGGAAGGTACCCTATTTTCCTCTCTCTTTTCCTTGCTCTTTAACAGATAAAATATCTGAAAAGATCTTAAAGCTCCCACCCATATGCCCTCTACTTTCGTCCAACACTAGCTACTAGCCTGAACTTGGTGTTTATTGTTCCTATCCAAGTCTTTATACTTTTATTAGATATGTGTTTCCACTGCATACTACATATGATTCATCTATGGTTTAGTGAATGATACCATATTGAAACACCCTTCTGCAATCTTCATCTCTCAAACACACTTTTTATGATACTCACAGCTTGATTTCATGTGTATCTGGGTTATATTTAATTGCATTTAAATTATTTTAATATAAATAACATTGTGATAAACATTCTTGGACATCAAGACACACACATTCTAGAAGTCACCCTTGGGAATCTTAAATGAGTAAGCATCACCACCAGGACTCCACCTCAAAGGCATCGCCACACAGAACCCCAGTGCCACCTGAAATTCTGTACTTACTTCTATTTCAACTGAAAGTAGGCTTCCCTCACACTCCCCAGCCTTTTTTCTATACCACATGGTACCACTTTAGCTAATGTCAGAAGTTCACAAAGTCACTGAAGGCTCTGATATGCCCAAGGTCAGAGGAAAATTCATAGACTTGCAGCTGCCAAACGTTAAAGATGGGCTCCAGCAATGCATAATAGAGTAAAAGGACAGAAGACTCCCATATGTTCCCCAAGTTTGCTATTTAGGCCAATGCTTCTCAAACTGCTAGGTGCAGTGAAGGACCTGAGACACTGATTCTGACTTATGGGTCTAGATGGAGCCCCAGATCCTTCTCTTCTAACTAGCTCCCAGGGAAAGCTGCTAATTTTGGACCATACTCTAAGCAGCAAAGAGCAGAGAAGCAGTACACCCAAGATTAGAACCAGATTTCTTGGTTAAACAGGAACCTGCAGGCAGCGTCTGACTCTCTAAGTGGCTCCCTGAAGGCACATTTACTGCTTGACTGTAAATAGTGTGTAAGCGCTGGACAGAGATCTTTTAAAGACCAAAATTAAGGAAACAAGAAGAGAAATAAACAATACAGAACATAAAAAGAAAAAGTAAGAGTTAAACTCCCAGGCCCTCCATTTCCAAGCCATGGTTCTGTCCCCTGTATAATGCCAACCCTGGCCAACAATGCTGGCTCCAGTATACTAATGGAATCTTGATCTCTTGTCAGGCAAGGCAATGCTGCCTAGGTTGGATTACTGTGCTGGTGCTCTGTTTTTCTTCTTCTGAGCAGCACTAAGGAATGCTTTCATGGACATCCTCTGGATAACCTTCTCTACCTCTGCTACCCTTCCTCAAGCTCCTCCCACTTTGGATGATGTAGTAATTATCCTGTCATAAAACAATTTAGCCCTAATGATAAGCACTTCTGAAGAATTCACAGTTGTTATCAAGTATGTTACCATAGCATCTCCTCTGGAGAAAAAAACATGCCCAGAAGCAAGGACCAACTGTGCCTACACCACCCATTCACACTTAAGAACTTAACAAAGGTAAGCACTACCCAACTGGTTCTGACCACATGTTGTGAGTCCGCCCAGCAAAATGGTTCCAAGTGGGTTTCCTTGGCAACTGTTGGCTCCAGGACTTAGCAGGAAGGTCAGCATTCTACTGCACGTGCAGGAGCAGGTGCAGGAGCAGGTGCAGGTGCAGATGCAGAGCTCAGGCCATCACTCATGCTCGTCAGTGAGTGAGAGCCACAATGGTTCTGGTAGCCAAAAACCAGAGAAGGGAATAAAGTGGGCTTCTGAGAGAGAGCCCTTCTGTATCTTGCAAATACTTCAGTAATATACTCAATTTTAGCTTGGTTCTTTCAAAGACACGGCATAATAACATTTTGTCATTCTGGCTCGTATTTTAATCAAGTCTTGTGGGTTTGCAAAATACTTTCATAGCCTGTTTTTTTTTTTTTTTCAACACAGTGACCACATGAAATCAGTCAACATTTCATTCCTTATTGACAGATCTAGAACCCTCTGATTTCAAATTGACTGAATTTTCCAACATTGTTTCTCTCAGGAAACAGATCTTTAAGCTTTAAAATTCAGCTGATTAGCGAGATGTAAAAACAGAATGTCAGTACCCATTAAAGACACTGATGGACTGAATATTTCACAACTCAGATTTTTCAGAAAGTGGATGGATGCTTTTCCTGTAAGAGAGGTGAGATTCCCTGAGAAAACAGAGACTCAGGATGGTCAGGCACTTGGTTCAGAGATGCACTACTGATGAAAAGCGAGATTGAGATTCCAGCCCAAGTCTACTGAGTTCCAAATCACATGCACTTTCAGTCTCTCTGGAGTCAGCTAAATAATGTAGGTAATGCACCTAATGGCTTCACTGGCTAGCTCTATACAAAACTTTTTTTTAAAAAAGAGAAAGAAAAATCCAATGCAATTAAAACAATAAAGTGCTGGTGTTTTCTACTTGCTCACCAATTTCTCATGCTTTTTTTCCTAGAAAGTTTTCTCAGGCTCCTCTTTACCCATTAGGGAACTACACAAAATGAAACAAATCTGTTTCTTTATACAGTGATCCTAGAAAGACACAGCTTGAACTGATCTTTCCCAGACAGCTACAGCCCTTGGAATAAATGTCTATTCACTTGACATGTTTTCACTTTTCTTTGATGTTCCTTTCCTTGCTGTCTTACTTAAGTATTTTATCATCAAGGCTGCTAAAAATCTGCAACCTAGAAGTAAACCTTTTTACCTGTCCCCTTCTGAGCATCCAAACACTGTCTCATCTGGATCTATGATCATTCACAGCATTTTGACAGAACGAATGTGAATTAAAACCTAAGCTTCCCAACAATTATAAATAAGTGCCATTAAATGTGTGAAGCAGATATCCAATTTATAATTTAAATAAATTAAGAGAAACAGTATTTTGTTTTAAAAATTACCCTATATCACACCTCTGAAGCATTTAAACTTATGTTCAGAGATCACTAACAAATGTAGCCTGCAAGGTGGAGTGGCCAAGTGATCAGCTGCTAATAATTGTGCCAAGATCTGAAGTCTCAGAAGTGAGGAAAGGGATTACGGTGAGAAAATGAAGGACTCACCACGCTTGGGCTCAGATTGCTGGTGCCTAAAGCTACTAAGTCATCTTATGGAAGTACCTTGCTGAGCCACACCCCTCCCACACACAGAGGAGCAGTGATCTGGGTAAGGCACTGTGCCAGACAGAAAGATGGAAATGTAAAAAAGGACTGTCTCAAGGCACAAATTATCCAGAGTGGATTTCCTGTCCCTCATCACCCATGGTGCTTGTGAAGCACATCGTAAGGTAGCTTTCCCATCTTGTGACCACTCAACAGGCTCCCTTTGAGGACAAAGGCAGAG